TTTTATTAAAAAATATGAATGATATGTATGTACTCTTTAAAAGGAGAAAGTTATCACTGAGAGCCAGTACATGTTTGCAAAGAGAGCATTGTTTATAACTAGGCTTGGTTTATTACGGTGATAGTACCTACTGATCTAGAAGGGAGTGCTGTAGTTGAAATTTGAGTCCCTTCTAATATTTCACAGACAAATTGGGTATAGAGAGAAGTGTTGGTTAGATGATACAATTGTGTCTTTTGATTAGGTTAAAATCTCACAGAGTGTTGATAAATTGTGTTATTTTGGGAGGCATCTTGAACACATTTGCTGGCCATATCCTTTTCAAAATTTTTATTCACAGTGATGATAAATTTTTATTCACAGAAGCAATACCAAATTTAAAATTGGAAGGATTTAACAAAATGTAAATTAAAAGAATCACATTAAATAGATCGCTATTTGTTGGAAAATTTGCCCACATAAACAAACTGTAATTTAAAAGTCATAAAGGTAGTGCTCTGAATGTTAAATAAACATGAATTTTGGAAGACAGAATTTGCTTCAGTGCATAGAACTTATAGGTAGGCTAATTTAAGATTACAACAGAATGATTTTTGTCTCCGTTTATTTAGCTGCTTGAAATGCCTGGTCATTGAACATGTTTATTCAGAGGCTCACTATATAGAAATACACGCCAACATAGGGTGATAGGCTGTCTGTGGTGGACTCCTGAGCATATATTATTCAGTCAGGTTGATTAGGGATCTAATCCCAAGATTGCCATTCCATAGCTTTGTGACCCTAGATAAGTTGCTTTATCTTAGTTTAGTCAAGTATGTATCAAAGCATTAGTGTAAGAATTAAACAAGATAATACATGTAAGTACCTAGCATACTGGTACTTACTCCTTAAGTAACTTTACTTCCTGCACTTCCAATTTTTTAACACATAAATTCTATGATTCTTAGATTCTGTTCTCAGCCCCCAGATGGACATACAACTAACTAGTGAGTTATACTTTCCCAGGAAATAATAAAGCATTTTGAGGCCTTAGATGACTATGAGAAATATCCCATAAGGGTAAACCTTATTTCTAAATAGTGTTAGTTTAATTTATAGATTAAGTCATAGCCTGGTAGCAGGATGAAATTCAATAAAGCTTATTATTCTTGGACATGTAAAAAACAGTAATAATTATGTAGATACCAAAATGTCTAGCACTGTTTAAATTTTTTAAGTAACCTGAATATGGATATATTAATCAATTATTTATTCAAAGACAAGGAAATAATCTTACAGATAAATGATGTTTATTTGTATAAATTAGCTTCTTAATGAAAAATTTGATTCTGATATGCCTTTGCAATTTGAAAGGAAACTGAAAGGGGAAGATAACCAGTGAAAAACAGTAATATAAACTTCAGAAAGCCAGAACATTGAAATAAATGTTGAGGATTTTGGTCTGGAAAGAAAAAAACATTATCTTATTTTCTAATAACATAATTATTACACACACACACACACACACACACACACACACACACATACATGTATGTATTTTGTTTTTATAGTAGACCAGGAAAGAAAAATTGTTACCAAAGATTTTACTTTATTTAAATGAGGTAAAAATGGCAGTGTAACCATTAACAGGTAGGCATGCAGCCACCAACAACAGATACATTTTGCTTTATCTAAAGCTCCTTGAGAGTTAGAATCGAAACAGACCAACACCTTTCTTTGAATAGATTAGGTCTCATCTGAATTTTTAGGCCTGAACTACATGACACATTGAAATTGTCTGGAAATAGCAATTTCTTCAGGCTATTAAAAATTAAAATTTGAGTTTGAAATGACTACAAATGAAATAAATTATGCTCTAAACTAAAGATTATATGTCTTGTTAGAAGGTTTGCCATGAATATTATTTCTTTGAGTTATAGCGAATGCAGAAACGATGCTGTGCTGATTTGTATTATATTTAGTTAGTAATATGACAGTATTAGTAATTTGCGAGGTTTTTAGTTTTTTGTAAGTAGAGGATATACGTAGTAGAATAGCCATCTAAGAACTAGGGCTTCAAGAGTTGAATAATTTAAATAGGAAAATTGAGATTGCCAATAGTAATTTCTAACTTTCAGATTCCCCAAAGCTATCACAGATATGTCTCATACCTATCCAGATTTTTCCAGGCTTCCGTGCAAAGTTGCCAGTGTGTTTACTGTAAGCACCCTGTTCTGGCATCTCCCTCCTAGAGCCTTCATTACTCTGTCAGTCTGGACTGCTTGCTCTAGAGGCCTTTGCACAACTCTTACCCTAGGACTTCACTCTTCCTCCATGATCCTAGATTTCTTGCCTCCTACATCCATGTATTCCTTTTTTTCAACTCCTGTATTTTGTTTTAGCCATTCTTTAGGATGTCTTAGGAGGTGAAGTTTTGAGTCGTTGCCTGACTGAAAATGCCATTAATCTGTCCTCACACTTTATTGATTGTTTGTCTGGACACAGAAGTCTTGAGTGCAAAGAATTTAACCTCTGTATTTTGAAGGCATTATCTTCTAACTTCCAGTATTACTGCTGAGAGGCTCGATGACATTTTTAAACTTGATCCCTTTGTTTGTTACTTGTTTTTTGTCTCTTTGGAGACCCTTAGGCACTCTTTTATCCCTTGTTTTGGAATTTTACAGTGATACTCTGGTTTGGCACATTTTTTATGCTGTTCATTCACTCATTCTTTCAGTCTAGAGACTCATATCTGAAGTTCTGGGAAAATTTCCAGTAATTCTTTAAAATGAAACTTTTATTCATTTATTTCCTCTATTTTTTCTTTGTAGAATGACTATAGCTTTATAATAGTTGACATTGATGGTCTAATAGTTTAATATTTTTTCTCCTATTATTTGTTTATATTCTAGTTTCTGGGGGATTTTTCTGGAGTTACCATCTAAACTTTCCATTAACTTTAATTTTTTTTAGCCTTTAGAATTTCGTAAAGCTCTTTTTTCCTGTCTGAAATTTTCTTTTTTTACTTTTTAAAAAAGTTTAGTTTTGTTTATTAGCTTCCTGCTCTTAATTCAGCTACTAAACTTAAATGTAAGTTTTGGAGTTCTCTTCAGCTGTTTGTACTGTCTATATTTACTTGTAGTTCCTTTTTTTTTTTTTTTTTGAGACGGAGTTTCGGTCTTGATACCCAGGCTGGAGTGCAATGGCGCGGTCTCGGCTCACCGCAACCTCCGCCTCCTGGGTTCAGGCAATTCTCCTGCCTCAGCCTCCTGAGTAGCTGGGATTACAGGCACGCACCATCATGCCCAGCTAATTTTTTGTATTTTTAGTAGAGACGCGGTTTCACCATGGTGACCAGGATGGTCTCGATCTCTTGACCTCGTGATCCACCCGCCTCAGCCTCCCAAAGTGCTGGGATTACAGGCTTGAGCCACCGCGCCCGGCTTACTTGGAGTTTCTTTTATGTTGTTCAATATAAACATGATTTTATGTTTGTATTTCCTCAAATATCTGGTGGTTGGCTGTTAATTTATATTCAAAAGGAAGGTATTAAACTGAATTGGAAACATTGCATGTATAGTGTTGGGTTTCATTCCAAGAAAATAGGACTTAAAGGGTTTTTTTTCTCTGAGATATTGTTAAGTCAGTGCTTCCGAACTCTGTGCAGAGCACATCTGCTTGTCCTTTTCCCTTCTAATGGCATTTGGGTTTTCTTTCCTCTCTTTTGCTGTTACCTCTCTGTTTACCATATTTACGAAGTCATCCACCTGCATTGCTATTTTTTCCCTCAGTTTGCTTGTGTTCATTAACTTATACCCTTTTTATTCGTGTATTGTCATTTTTATGTTATTTCTAGAGGACACAGAGATATATGCACACAGCCAATATGTTTGATTTAACCAGAAGTTGGGTAGATATTTTAAAATATCATGGGAATTTTCATATTATTACTTAGCATTTGTAATTATTTTTAAATAACTCTATAATATTCTGCTGAGTAAAGATAGTGTAGTTTACCTAACTTCTTTTATTACTGCTTTCAGTTTCTGATTCGAAAGACATCATTCATAGTCACTAACAAATCAGACATTATATCAAAAAAATCTTGTTAGAATGCTGTTTTTTTATGTTCTACTTATTGATTTTAAAATTTTATGTTTTGTGCATGTACTCTTAATCTGTGTACAGTTACATAGTAAAAGCAACAACAGTATTTTCTCTTTAAAAGTAGCATTTTGTACTAATGCTTTGAAGAAAAGTAATGAGTATTTGTTAATTGATAATCAGCAACAGTGTATTTTGTGATTTCCTCTTTTCTACATGAAAAATGTACAGTTTACCATTAAAATCTTTAGACATTTTAAAATATACTAATATTTTAATTTTTAAGACGGAATATAGATTTTGTTTTATTTGATTTTTAGATTTAGTATTTAGCTATCAAAGATTATACTTTTATCTAGCACAATGAATTAAAATAAATTTTGAATTATATTTGGTATTGATATGTAAGTCATTTACAATTTTTAAAATTTTTAGATAGTCTTTCTGATATTTGTATTGTTATTTTGAAATTTGCCATCATTCTTAAACATCTTTTCTGAAGAATTTATTAAAAACGTAGTTCTGTTGTATTATATACTCCAGTAACATTTTAAAAGGAATTTTGAAATCTTTTGTTTTAAAAGCTTTTTAAAATTCATTTTTATGTGATTTTTTTACAATGGTTAATTTTTATTTTATGCATGCTTTTATTGAATACCATGACAATAATTTTATATATTGCTGATATAAAATAGAAGTATGTAATGGACAGCTTTTTAAATAGAACTCTAGATTCTGATATGTTTTATGAAAACTTATAATAAATAATATGTAAAACTTCACTGAAAAAGTAAAGAAAATATATATAGTTCTTTTTTGACTTCCAGGATTAATATGTTTGAATTAAAATAAATTGTTTATATTGTCTGCTTGTTTTGAATTTTGTGTCTATAAATTTTTAAATAATTCTTTTGCAGTTACCTTCCCTGGTTTGAAGTGTATTACAAGCTTCTAAATACTCTTGCAGATTACTTGGCTAAGGAACTGGTAAGCTATTTTTTCCCCATTTTTAAATTGTGATAAAATAGCATAACATCAAACTTAACATATGAACCATTTTTAAGTGTATAGTTTTGTGACATTAAGTACATTAATGTTGGTCTGCAACCATCAGTACCATACATCTTTTGTTACCTTGCCAGTTTAAAACTCTGTCTATACGCATTAAACAATATCTACTCATTTCTCCCCAACCCCACCATCCCTGGCAATCAGCATAGTATCATGTGTATGAATCTGACTACTCTATGTATCTCATGTAATTGGACTCACAAAGTTATCTGTCCTTATTTGCTAAGTGACTGGCTTGTTTCATTTCGCATAATGTCTTCAAGATTCATCCATGTTGTAGCATGTGTCAGAATTTTTTTAAGACTGAATATGAATACACCACAGTTTGTTCATTCTTTTATCTGTCAATAGACACTGGGGGGTGCTTCCTCTACTTTTTGGGTATTGTGAATAATGCAGCTGTGAAGATGTTTGTACAAGTGATGTTCCAGCCTTTGGGTTCAATCCTTTTGGGTATATACCTAAAAGTGGAATTACTGGGTAGTATGATAATTCCGTGTTTCATTTTTTGAGGAATCAAGAGAACGTTATTCACAGTGGCCACACTATTTTGTATTTCCTTCAGTAACTTACAAGGCTCCCATTTCCCTCACGATCTTGCCAATACTTGTTCTTTTTTCTTTTTTGGATAATGTGTGTGCAAAGTGTTGTATCATTGTCATTTTAATTTGCATTTCCTTAATGAATAGTGCTATTGGATATTTACTTTCCATTTGTATGTCTTCTTTAGAAAAGGTCTTTAATTGTGCAGACAGAAAATTTACCCAGTGTAAATGCTCTGGGAACACAGCAAGCTAATTCAACCTCATTCAACCTGGAGAGTCAGGAAAAGTCTCTAGAGAAAAATTTGTTGGAACTTTTCTATCTCTGTGTCTCTAACAGCAAATAGGTATTGAGTCAAAAGTTGTAGAAGGTCTGTTCATGTCCTTTGCTCATTTTAAAATCATGTTGTGTTTTTTGTTGTTGAATTGTAGGAGTTCTTCATATATTCAAATATTCATTTCTTATTAGATGATCTGTGAGTATTCTATTCCAATGCATGGTTTGCCTGCCTTTTTACTATTTTGATAGTATTGTTTGATGCACAAAAGTTTTATGAAGTCCAATTTATCTACTTTTTCTTTTGTTGCCTGTGCTTTTGGTATCATATCCAAGAAATCTTACCAAATCCAGTGTTTTAAAGTTTTCTTCAAAGAATTTTATAGTTTTAGCTCTCAATAGAAGTCTTTATGCTTTTTTTTTTTTTTTCTTAAAAAATAGAAACAAAAGCTGAAGTTTGCTTTGGAATGAACAAACTTCTCTCAGATAATAATTTTTAATTTTTCCCTTGATTATTAGTTCACTTTTTAAAAAAATTGTTTTGGAGACAGGGTCTTGTTCTGTTGCCCAGAGCTGAAGTGCAGTTTTGTAATCATCACTCACTGCAGCCTCAACCTCCTAGGCTCAAGTGATCCGCTCACCTCAGTGTCTCAAGTAGCTGGAACTATGGGCATGTGCCACCACAACTAGCTAATTTTGAAATTTTATGCACAGACAGAATCTCACTGTGCTGCCTAGGCTGGTCTCAAATTCTTGGCCTCACAGAATCTTCCTGCCTCTGCCTCACATCTACCAAGCCTGGCCATACTTTGAGGTTTTTAACAAAAGTTAATTTACTAAGATATTAGCTATGCTATTTGACACAGCTCAATTGAAATAAAATGCATTTTTAAAATTCTTTGTAATTTTCTCACTTAGGGTGTACTTTCTATTCTCTAGTTAGCTGTTTAAATTCTTATTTGGTTCCTCTCACTCATGACATTGTGTTTTTCTTGGCTGCCCTGACATTGTCTCTTTGTTTTACTTATGAGCTCAGCTTCTTTCTGGACCTTTTTCCTCCATCGACACCCAACATTTTGGTGTTACTTATGTTATATTCTTGGTTCTCTTTTTTCTAGATACCATTTATGGGCATTTCAGACACACTGTTTGTCTACATACCACTCTTTTCATGGTGAACTTTTTCGAAACTGATTATTCCACTGCTTATAATCTCTCCACAGTCTCCTCTTTTTCTTAGAATAAAATTTAAACTGTGAGCAGCATGATGTATAATAACTTTGTGGTCTGGCTTCTGACTTTCTCTCTGGATTAGTCTGCTTACACTCATCTGCTGCACATAATGTACTATCTAATTATTTTGAGCCACCTAAATTTCCCAGAACATAACTCTACACAGTTGTCTATCAAGATTACAGACCACTCATTAACTATTAATGTTGGAATACTTATCTTTTAAGAGTTAGTGTACTCTTTCAAAACCTAATTTCAGCACAAGTACTTCTCTAGAGACGTTTCCTGACTTTCCAGGTTGAGTTAGGGGATGCATTCTGTGGGTTTCTAGAGCATTTATACTGGGTTGTATGTAATTCTGTGTCTGCACATCTAAAGTAATAATTGAGAGTTGGAAATCTTCTATTGCTGTATCTTCCATAGCAAAAGGTATTGAGTCAAAGGTGTAGAATAAGTAAAAAATACATTAGAAAGTTTCTAATAGTCAGTTTTTAGATCTTCATTTTATAGTAGAAGAAACTAATATCCAGATATTGTGACTTTTTTATTCACTAGATTCTGTATGCCAGTGTTTTAAAGGCAATCATAGTCAAATTGTTGATGGAATTTTTAAAAATGGGATATAGTAAGACAATGTCATTTTTCTCACCGTAAGTTTTTCCATAGAAAAAGCTTATTTTCAGCTTTTCAGTATACAATCATTTATTTCTTTACATGTTTTAAAAGTTCTGTTGACTGAATTTGGAGCAAAATATCCTCCTAGGCATAGTATTTTGAGGTTTTTGTTTGTTTGTTTGTTTTAGACAGAATCTTGCTCTGTTGCCCAGGCTGGAGTGCAGTGGCATGATCTCTACTCATTGCAACCTCCACTTCCCGGGTTCAAGTGATTCTCCAGAGTAGCTGGTATTACAGGCACGCACCACCGTGCCTGGCTAAATTTGTGTGTGTGTGTGTGTGTGTGTGTGTGTGTGTGTGTGTGTGTGTGTGTGTTTAGTAGACATAGTGTTTCACCATATTGGTCAGGCTGGTCTAAGGCTCCTGACCTTGTGATCTGCCCACCTCAGCCTCCCAAAGTGTTGGGATTACAGGCATGAGCACCACACCCAGCCTGTATTCTGAGTTTTCATTTAATTTTTTAAAATTATATTGTCTTGGTAATACAGTTTGGTTAAAATAGTATAGACATTTCTGTCTGCGCAGTTAAGTGAAACAAGTACTATGCTAACATGGATACAGACTGTATTTGAAAATAAGCTTGTAAGAATAAAAATTAATGGTTTTGATAAACCAGCTGACATCTTTCATTTTCATAAGTGGTGGTGGTCTCAAGTACAAGTGAGTGTGGTCACCTTAGAATTAAAATGTTTATGAATGTTCCCAGGTAACTTAATGTAGTATTGGTAGTACAAATGTAACTGAACTTTTGGCAGTGTGGTTTGATTGAATCCTAAAATCCTGGATTTAAGTTTTTTTCTTTTTTTTTTCTTTCTTGTCTTTTTTCTTTTTAATGAGATTGAGTCTTGCTCTGTGGCTTACTGCAACCTCCGCCTCCCCAGGTCAAGTGATTCTTCTTCCTCAGCCTCCTGAGTAGCTGGGACTACAGGTGTGTGCCACCATGCCCAGCTAATTTTTGTATTTTTGGTACAAACAGGGTTTCACCATATTGACTAGGCTGGTCTCAAACTCCTGACCTCGTGATCCTCCTACCTCAGCCTCCCCAAGTGCTGGGATTACAGTCATGAGCCACCATACCAGGCATAAGTTGTATTTTTTATTTATGCTTTTTTTTTTTTTTTTTTTTTTTTGAAACAGAGTCTTGCTCTGTTGTCGAGGCTGGTGTGCAGTGACAAGATCTTAGCTCACTGCAACCTCCACCTCCCGGGTTCAAGTGATTCTCCTGCCTCAGCCTACAGAGTAGCTAGGATTACAGGTGTGCACCACCACGCCCAGCTAATTTTTGTATTTTTAGTAGAGATGGGGTGTCGTCATGTTGGCCAAGCCAGTCTTGAACTCCCTTGTGACTCTGATTAAAGTACAGTGTCTATAAGTCAGGTAACTAGTTCTGTTACTTGGAAAGTAAGAGAGATATTATTTATATAAATAGAATTTAAAGGTGTTATTAATAAATTAAGGTACCCTTTACTCTTCTAGTGAACAGTTTTCTAATTTGTCAACCAAATTTATTATAATATAATTGCAAGTGTTAAGGTTTGTCAAAAGTCTAGTTGTTAATATGTATGTGTTTGTGCAAGTCAGTATTTTTCTCTCTATATTTGACAGCTTAATTCTTTGAAATATATATTAACATCATTTTACAGTTGAATAATTTTATGTTGAAGCTATAAGTCATTCACTTGCCTAAGAAAATAACTGGAGATACAGCTATTTATTTTTTGCAATGAAAAGTCAAAATCAGAATTCTGGTTAAATTATTCTTGATAATTTCTTACTTTTTGTTTTTGTGAATGTACATGTGGCATTCACATTAATTATATTAGTTGTCTAAATTTTGGATACTTTTCCTGTATTTTGTAACTTTTAGTAACTGTTACTGATAAATTATTACTATTTCCTTATTGTATATTATTTTATTTTTCTTGAAACCATCAGTAATCCTGGAATACATAAAATAGCTATAAGCAAATTCATATAATTTTGGCTTTCTGAGAAAAGGAAATAGGGAGGCTTCATTTGTGTTCCTTATTTGAGGAAGAAGTATTATAAGTTTATAGCATTAGTTAAACTAGAAGTAGATTTGTAATTGTACTTTTTTCTGTTCATTTCTAATTCAGTGCGATAGGTTATTTAAATAACTTTTACAATTCAAGTTACCCGTACCTGATCAATGTTAAGACAGTGCAAAGGATTTTTGAAAGCTAGTCTAAAAATTTTTCTGCCTGTAGGAATTTTGTATAAACAGAGTATCAATATGATCCACAATTTTCCAGGTTACACTTCATTGTTTAAAAGTTTAAGAAGTAAATTGTTTATTTTGCAGTCATTCTAAAATGTAATTCTAAAACATAACTGTCTGAGTCTCTTATACAAAGGGGATTCGTATCATCTGCAATATTCCCTGGTATACTTCATTGTATAAATCAGGCGTCCCCAAACTTTTTACACAGGGGGCCAGTTCACTGTCCCTCAGACTGTTGGAGGGCTGCCACATACTATGCTCCTCTCACTGACCACCAATGAAAGAGGTGCCCCTTCCTGAAGTGCGGCGGGGGGCCGGATAAATGGTCTCAGGGGGCCGCATGCAGCCCGTGGGCTGTAGTTTGGGGACGCCTGGTATAAATGGTCAAGAGATAAATTGTTTATAGTCCTTTTTAGGTCATTCTGAAGAGTATTTCAAATAAGTAGTTTTAAATGAATACTTTTGAAAGTAGTTACAGAGATCTAATTTATTAAATGTTGATGTAAGTGGATAGACAAGGCATAAGAAATATCGTGAGAAGTCTATGTCTCATATCCAAACTTAATAAAATTGCCAACTTCTCTGAACAATTGCTTTTTCATTTGATTTATTTCCTCCAACATGAAAATAGAGAATAAATATGTTTATAAAAATAGTTGTATATTTATTACTAGATTTGTAGCATATGATGCAGAAAAATTGAGGTTGCACATCAAGGCACAGTATTATTATGCAAATTCTGTGAAGTAGATTTGTTGTATGTTTTATTTAATCCCATTTATTGTGGGTCAAGTATTGATAAGTAGCAATGTAGAAAAGAAATATTTGGCAATTATTTCCTCTACATTGCATTTTTAGTATAATAATCTTGTTTAAATTGTTTCTATTCCTTAAAAATTGATTTAGCATTTTAAAATGGAAATGGAAAACGAGAGTACTCTGTGATCTGATAAAAAGTTATATCTCTGTTTTTATTCAATCCAATTGTTCTTATTGGATTTAATCATTTAGATAATTTCCTTTTATGATATTTGTATAATATATAATAACTGTTTCAAATACACATTTACACTAAGTACAAGTATTGACATTATTCTTCTGGATAAAGAGATTTAAATATGTTTTCATATTTACTAGACTCAAATATTTTAATTTCAGTTATTTCAAATGTTTCTGTTGAAAACATGTAAAATATGTCTAATATGAAAAGCTACAGTGGACTGTTTTATTAAGTAGTTTTAATTGACGTTGCTTGGTATACGTCTTATTTATAAAATGTGCATTTTCTTTTCCCTAGGAAAATGATTTGAATGAAACTCTCAAATCGCTATATAACCACCCAGTACCAAAAGCAAATACTCCTGTCAACTTGAGCGTGGTAAGTATTCAATCAGTAATTGTTTTTTGGAGTCATAGTTATGTCTCAATTTTGTTACAAACACATGAACCTTCAGGTAATTCTTTGCTAAGTTATCTCTACTTCCAGGAATACTTCATTGCTAGTATTAACGTGACAGTTTAACATGCTCTAACAATCATAACTTGATATATCAGGTGTGTATTTTTATAATTTTATTGAATTATTGAATTAAAAAAATTATTATAAACTAAAAGAAACCAAATCTATGAGGATATTTTGGTTGTAAGAAACACTGATTTTTAGGTGAAATCTGTGCATAGTAAAGGAATACACACACATGCTTAATAACCCTCCTAAAATGAAAACAATACTTAGTAAGAACAGAAAATGACATATAACATATCACTGTATGATAAAAGTTCTGGGTGAAAAGTTTTGTCTTTTTTCTTATACATCAATGTATCTATTCATATAATCACAAAATACTGGAAATATGATTGAATTGCTGTTTGTCAAAACAGCAAGCCTATGATGGGATAGATTATTTATTGTACTATTGAAACTTTTAATGAACTGTGCCATCTATATCTAAAAACACTCATGTTTTGGGAATTTTTGTAAATATTCAAAGTTCAGGATTATAAAATATGGCTGCTTTTATTTTCTTCATGAATTTGGCATACTGGATGCACTATTAAAATTTATATTTATTTTCTTCTAAAATAATAAGCTTTACCTAATAAAGAAGAAAAAATATAATGTTGCAAGAGAAAAGATAACTCAAAATATCTATAATAACAGGTCTTTTGTGTTTTGGTGAGATAGGGAAGTTGTTATATTTTTTTAGATAATTTTCTTTTTTAAAAATTAATCAACTCATGTATAATAGGTCTTTTGTGTTTTTGTAAGATAGAGAAGTTGTTATATTTTCTTTGGTAATAATTTTCTTCTTTTTCTAAAATTAATTTTTAATTTTTTCCTTAAGTTATTGGGATACTGGTGGTATTTGGTTACATGAATAAGTTCTTTAGTGGTGATTTGTGATATTTTGGTGTACCCATCACCCGAGCAGTATACACTGCACCATATATGTAGTCCTTTATCCCTCACCACCTCCCACTCTTCCCCACAACTCCCCAAAGTCCATTCTGTCATTCTTAGGCCTTTATTTCTTCATACCTTAGCTGCCACAGATCAGTGAGAACATGATGTTTGGTTTTCCATTCCTAAGTTACTTTACTTAGAATAAAAGTCTCCAATCTCATTCAGGTTGCTGCAAATGCTGTTAATTCATTCCATTTTACAGCTGAGTAGTATTCCATCGTGTATACATATATACCACAGTTTCTTTATCCACTTGTTGATTGCCAGGCATTTGGGTTGGTTCCACAATTTTGCATTTGTGAATTATGCTGCTATAAACTTGTGCAGAAATATCTTTTTCATATAATGACGCTTTTCCTCTTGATAGATACTCAGTATTGGGATTGCTACCATCAAATGGTAGTTGTACTTTCAGTTCATTAAGGACTCTCCACAGTTTTCCATAGTGGCTGTACTAGTTGACATTCCCACCAGCAGTGCGGAGGTGTTTTCTGATCACTGCATCCACGCCAACATCTAATACCGTTGTGGATGCAGTGATCAGCTGATCAGCTTAATATTTGTTTAGTAGATGTGTGAGGATCATATTTTGGGATAACTACATGTATAAGAAGATTTAAACATTGAAAAATTATGTTTTATTTCTGTTTATTAAATAATATGGTGGCTGATGTTTACAAAAGTATTTTGATTTTTTTCATTATGGCCATCTTTGCAAAAGTAAGGTGATACTGCATTGTGGTTTTGATTTGCATTTCCCTGATTCAGTAGTGATGTTGAGCATTTTTTCATGTTTGTCGGCTATTTGTACATCTTCTTTTGAGAATTGTCTATTCATGTCCTTAGCTCACTTTTTGATGGGATTTTTTTTTTCTTACTGATTTGTTTGAGTTCATCGTAGATTCTGGATAGTAGTTTTTTTTGTCAGATGGATAGACTGAAGATTTTCTCCCACTCTGAGTTGTCTGTTTGCTGACTATACCTTTTGCCATGCAAAAATGCTTTAGTTTAATTAAGTGTCAACTATTTATCTTTGTTTTTATTGCATTTGCTTTTGGTTTCTTGGTCATGAAATCCCTGCCTAAGCCAATGTCTAGAAGAGTTTTTCCAGTGTCATCTTCTAGAATTTTTATACTTTCTTATCGTAGATTTAAGTTCTTAATCCATCTTGCATTGATTTTTATATAAGGTGAGAGATGAGGATCCAAATTTCATTCTCCTGTATGTGGCTAGCCAATTATCCCAGCACCGTTTCCTGAAAAGGGTGTCATTTCTCCACTTTATGTTTTTTTTTGCTTTGTTGAAGATCAGTTGGCTGTAAGTATCTGGATTTATTTCTTTGTTCTCTATTCTGTTCTGTTGGTCCATGCGTCTTGCCCAGATTTCATCCTGTGATTTCACGTAATAGTAATGTTCTCTTACGTTATTCCATTCTTTAACCACTACTGTTAGTAGTAGACTAAGGTGGTTAGCATCTTAGTTCTGGTGCTTAGTATTTCCAAGAGTTCTTAGTCTAGAGCAGGCGTCCCCAAACTTTTTACACAGGGGGCCAGTTCACTGTCCCTCAGACCGTTGGAGGGCCGCCACATACTGTGCTCCTCTCACTGACCACCAATGAAAGAGGTGTCCCTTCCTGAAGTGCGGCGAGGGGCCGGATAAATGGCCTCAGGGGGCTGCAGTTTGGGGATGCCTGGTCTAGAGTCTCTCCTTCCAGTTCTTTCCACAAAAGACTGTCAGGGCAGACTTACTTAAAACTATATAAAGTCCCAGCTGAAAACTTTTTGTAGTTCCCCATTTTCTATAGAATTTGTTCAGACTTTGGCTAGACTTTCAGGACCATCCATTTCTTAGATTCAATTGAATTTTTTATTTTCTTCCTCTATTCTGATCACAGTTTTGTTCAGCTTCTTGAATGAGCATCATTCCTTTAGGACAAAAGTCACTTTGTTGATCGTATGTTGTTAGTCTAGAACTTGCTCAATCTTCACCTTCGTGAAGCCTCTTGTCATACAACTTATTGCAGTGTTTTTTCTTTCCAGCGTTCTTCTCTGCCGCTTTATGTCTGCATCTCCTTTTGTTGCACACTGCAGAAGTGGAAACGTTTAATAGTCATTTGGAGACTGGTTGATAAAAAGCTAAGGATAACCTGGAATTTTTAACCCAAATTTGGGAGTCAACAGTAGACATAGTTGTGGCTATTTAAACGGTAAAATATTGAAGAGCATAGAGCAGAGGCTAAGTTCTAATTGCCCAAATAGGCTATAGGGAAAAAGAAAGGAGATCCAGTGAAAGAATTGGGGGAAAGGGCAGTTAAGGAGAAACTTAGACTTATAGGTCATTGAAGCCAAAAATATGCAAGGTTTATGGTTAGTGGAAATGCAATAGGAAGGCCAAGGGAAGGGTCAAGGGTAGTAAAGAAGAGCCTGGGATTTTCCAAATAAAGGTCATTTTTCTTTGAAAGTGTTATATTTATAAGGTGATCCTAGCACTGTTAAAGAGTCAAGGAAAATAAAGGTGCTAAGACAATGGAGGTGGCATTGAGAAATACAAAAATATGTTCTCCCTTTAAATTTGAGTATCATTATTTGCTCAGGGGTAAATAAATATCTTACAAAAAAATACATCTCCAAAATACCAGATATTGAAACATTTCATCTTCATTAATAAGAACCGTAAATTAATGATTTCTAGGTCTTTTTTACTTAGGATTAGAAGATTTTGGTTTAAGTCACAGTCACTAAATGTGTACTGTTAGTCAAGAAAATTAATCTCTTTAGATGATCCTTTTTTTCCATTTAAGAAATTGAGCATGTCAACTTTTGAGAAAGTTGTTTTAGTAATCAACTTTCTCAAACCAAATACATAAAATTATATATCTGGATCTATCATGAAGAGCTATTCAGGTGTTGGGTGGTAGTAAATTGAAGTTTCATCTCATCTGGAGAAAATGTATTCTTCTGAAATAGCTGAATGGTAGCTGAAATAATCTTGTCAAAGGAATTTGATTGACTATGTTCTATTCCTATGTATATAGGAATTTGATTGACTGTCTTCTATTCCTTAATCGTTATTTCCATAATTAAGAATTCTTTTATGCACTTGAATTAATAGTCTGTGATAGTTTTTCAAGTCTTATACCTATTCTAAAGTTATAATATCTTTTTTTTTTGAGACGGGGTTTCACTTTTGTTGCCCAGGCTAGAAAGCAGTGTCGTGATCTCAGCTCACTGCAACCTCCGCCTCTTGGTTTCAAGCGATTCTCCTGCCTCAGCCTCCCAAGTAGCTGGGATTACAGGTGCCTGCCACCACGCCTGGCTAGTTTTGTATTTTTAGTAGAAATGGGGTTTCACCGTGTTGGTCAAGCTGGTCTTTAACTCCTGACCTCAGGCAATTGCCCTTTTTGGCCTCCCAAAGTGCTGGGATTACAGGCATGAGCCACTGTGCCTAGCTAAGTCATAATATCTTAAGTGTTGATAAAATCAGCTGTTACATTTGTTTACCATGAATAATTAGTTATATTTGATTTTAGTAACAGACTCCTAATGTAATGTATCTGGTGTAATGCTGTTAAATAAGGGGCAAATTTGGGACTAGGACACTTATCTTCAGCTACTAGAGGAGATTTTAGTTTTATGATGACAGATTAAAATTGATGATTATGGAAAAGGTTTTGTTCCTGTACAAGTGGATAATGGCCACTAAAATCACATATTTTTATAAAAAGTTAATGTCTAATGAAAATACTTTTTTTGAAATATTTCAAAATCATTAAATATCCACAGCATTCTCTACTCTTGTAATATGAAAATACTTTAATTAGAATTTTTCTAGCATAAAATTAGCAAATCAGCATTTAAAATAATATTTATAATTACTGTTATTCAAGTATTTTTTAGTGGCTAATGTGGCTACATGGGTTTTGTCTTAATTACACAGCGAATTGTTGTGTAAGCTTCTCCCATGAAAGTAAAATATTCATTTTTTTCTCTCATGTGTTGTAAGAACCAAGAGATATTTATTGCCTGTGAGCAAGTTCTGAAAGATCAGCCCTCTCTAGTACCGGTGAGTTAAAAGGACATTGGCTTCTAAAAATCGCTATTAAATAGGAAAAAATAATCATTTATTTCACTATGCCTTTAAGATTCACTCCAGCCCTTTGGGAAGTGGTAAATTTGACTCTTTTAAGAAAATTAATCATTGGAATATATAATATTTTCTGTTTATACTATCTTGTAAAGCATAGTTTTATGAAATACAGTACTATTAAAAACCATTCCAAATAAAACTAGCTTATAGATACCAAAATCTATGCATATTCTCCATTTTTAGTAGTAGTAGTTCTAAAGTATATTCACAGCATGAGATTTGTCACATTTTTTGGCCCCAAGATCACAGAAGATCTTGTGATTTTTCTCCTGTTTTCTTCCATCCTGGAAAATTATACATTATGACTAGCCTTGTTCTGACTAGTTCAACTATGCTCAAATATTGGCTAGAGTGTTTCTTTTCTAATGGTTAATAATATGATAGTATTAAATATGTCCTTATGTGATTAAGATATTTAAATAATTTTGAAGATGAATATGAACAGAAAATAAAACATTTTTTGGTGATTAAGTTGCACGTTGATTCTGGGTGGTAAATTTGGGAATATTTTTGGTAACGGGAAAGCATATATACACAATATACTCTTAAGTATTGTGATGAACTGTTGTACTTCTTTGAACATTATAGAAGCTGATTATTTGGTGGATGTGTGAAGATCGTATTTGGGGATCACTACATGTTTAAGCAGTTTTAAGCATTGAAAAATTATATTTTATTGCTATTTGCTAAATAATAGGGTGGGTGATGTTTACAAAAAACACTTGTGACTTACCATAGAAATTAAGATTTTGATATATTTGGTTAGCAAGCTTTAATTTTTCCAATCTACCTCAACTAAATGTATTTTAATAATATATATTTTCTATGTGTGTAGATGTGTGTGTGTATATATAGTGTATATATATGTGTATATATATGTATATGTACAAAATCAACCTTTCAATAATGTACTCTTTTTTGCCTTAACACTTTTCCCTAGCCTTATCTTAATTTTAAGGTCAAATATTTTTAACCAATTCTTAACTTTTTGCATGGTAATGTAATTGTTAAATCTCATATAAATCTGCTAACTCATTTAAGAATCTTTCAGATTCAACAAATACTGAATTTCAGTCCATGGCATTTATTAATTCTCTCAATATATTTTTTCTGATTTTCATTACAAATTATATGTAATAATACCAAGTTTTAATTATCTTTTTCATATGTGATTTGTTTGTACTGATTAGCATTCCTACTTCATCACCCCTGATGTAACTGGACTCCCAACAATACCTGAGAGTGTAAGTTTTCTATTTTCTGTTTTAATTATTCTTATATTATTAATTTTATTTAATTTGGTCTCACTGTTTATCCATTTTTGTATAGAGAAATAGAATACATTATAATTATCTGTGTTTATGATAAATAATGAAGAAATAAGGAATATTGATGTTATTTTCTTTTCTTCTTTATGTACCTGCCCCCTTTACCTTCTTCTTAATATCTGGTTGTAGATAAGGAAACTCAAGGACAGTAATAGGAGGAAAACAATTTCTGTCACTTGTAATAGTTAGATAGGATCACATATATTCAATTAGGTTCTCAGGTTCTCTGTATCTGATAGAAGAGATACCTCAGGAGATGGCTTCTACTGTGGAGAAGAATACTAGCAATGGGAAATAACTTCACACAAATTGTTACTTTAGTGAAATTAACATAGTATTTTATATTCCTTGTATATAATGCTTCAAATCTTATATGTCCTGTTCTTAATTTCCTGACTTTAAAGTAATACATACCTTGCAAGGTTTGATGGGTATTATAATAAATTATAAAATTTGCTAAAATTTGCATTTTATTTAGAGTCCTAATGGTAGCCATACTAGAAATGTTTTCAGTTTTTAATAGTTATTACAAGTTTATATTTTGTAGAAAAATTTACATAGATAAGTGGAAGTAACAAATATGCTTTTATGATTTTGAATAACTGTGAAAATGAAATATTTCATTATGTAATTTTTCTTCAGCTTCCCTTGGAAAGTTAAAATGAATTGGTAGGAATAATTCAATTAAAACTAAAGGAAAAATCAACAGGAAAAAATATTTCAATATATACTTATTATTTACTTTGGAATTCTAGTGTTTTTCCAAATGTTTTCAAACCCACTTGAATGTTTGGTTTCTAAAAGCATGTGGGTAGTGAAGGAAGTCCAAGAATACAATTATAAATTTTCTGGTATCAAACCAAGACTATCAATGGTGTTTTCAGTACAGATGGATCCAGAAAAGCCTGATGAAAAGCCTTTGTATCAAATTGCTCTTATGGGCCTGAGATAGATGATCAAAGCTCTCAGGTTACACAACAGATCCTAAAGTCTTGACTGCTGTACATTTTGGGCCAGGTACTTCTGGTTATGTTTTCTTTAAGGCTGACTGACCATGCCTTGACTTACATGACCCTGTTACTTCACTTCAGACTTTCATAGTCAAAGTTGCTCACATCTACTCTCTCCTGTTTACCTTTCTCTTATATTTACTAACCAACAACTAACAGCTTGATTTAACAAATGTCACATTTTTAAAAAGATGATTACTTTGAAGGTTTCAAAGAAACAAACTCTCAAATGAAAAACTGCCACTGAGAATATATATTTTTACACGTCTACTAACATGTTTTATTTTGCAAAAAGTCCTGTTTAGAGAAAAGAAAGCAAAAGCATAAGAGTAAGGCAGCACTCCATGCTGAGAAATAATTCCCCATCTAAGAATTACCTTTCTTTTAGATTATAAGAAATATGCTAATGTTGAATGACATGAATTTTTATATGGAGAGCTGAAATGGAAGATGAGAAAACAGGAAATAAACCTCTTCCCACCAAATTCAACACCACCCCCTGATAGTTACAGGTTTTATTTATGTGCTCTGTCATGATTACCAATTTGTGATGGTAAAGTTTCTACCTTTTGGAAATTGAGGAACTAATTGGATTTCTTAATTTCTTGCCCAACTAAAAGTTTTGGCCTGCAAGGCATAGTCCACCTGATACTGCAGTTTTTGTTTGTTATATCTTATCCAGACCCTTAATTAGTTTGTTGCTTTCTGATGTGCTAAATTTCATTACAGAAAATTAAAAATAAATAGTAAGAAGGGAGAAGATCAAAAATTCAAAGTTAATGTAGCTTATCCCACTTTTATTCTCATGTAGGAGATAAGAGTGCTAAATTAAGGACTCAATCATCAAATTATATTTGACTCTAGTGGTACAAAGCAAGCCTGACTTGAAGTAGAAACAAGTGAATTTCCTTAATAAAGTACCAAAGAGCTGTCTTATAAAATCGCATCATCCTTTGGGTGCCTTGTGCATGCTACATAATATCAGGTAATGACTGTGCCTCCATAGTGAATGGCAAGCACGAAAAGACTCAGATGTATTGTTTGGGCCACTGGTTTCTGAAGCATCAGTGTGTATAAGAATAACCAGAAGTGTTTATTTAAAAAGCAGATTCTTGGCCAGGTGTGGTGACTCACGCCTGTAATCCCAGCACTTTCAGAGGCCAAGGTGGGTAGATCATCTGAGGTCAGGAGTTTGAGACCAGCCTGGTCAACATGGTGAAATCCTGTCTCTACTAAAATACAAAAATTAGCTGGATGTGGTGGTGTGCACCTGTAATCCTAGCTACTCTGGTGGCTGAGGCATGGAAATCGCTTGAACCCAGGAGACGGAGGTTGCCATGAGCCAAGATTGCACTACTGCACTCCAGCCTGGGTGACCAAAAAAAAAAAAAAAAAAAAAAGCAGATTCTTGGGAACCTACTCGGAAGATGACAATCAGCAGGTCTAGGTTGGGGCCCAAGAAATTAGCTGCTTTTCAAATTCTTAGGGGGTAGGGAAGTTGGGAAATCTGTGAACTGATCATCCTCTGAAAACACTTTTCTTGAGTAGGGATATATTTCAGCAAATAATAGAACATTATGTGCTTCATGTGGCAGCAGACTAGTATTACACTTAATTATTTTAATGAATACCATTTTAAATAATAATAGCTTTTGAACTTTAAGACTTTCTAAATGTTAAATGTCTAAAATGTTTTCCTTCACTTTCACCATGAACTGTAACTTACACAATTATTTTTCACTTGCACAGAGAAATCTTACAGAGTATTTTGTTGCTGTGGATGTGAACAACATGCTGCAGCTGTACGCCAGCATGCTGCACGAGAGACGCATCCTGATCACCTCGAGCAAATTAAGCACTGTAAGTACTTCACACTTCTTTTAAATAGCGTGTATTGAGTGTTTCACAAAAAGGCCTAAAAACCTCTGCAGATTTAGAAATGTGCTATGTGTACTTATGAGACAATATCTACATACTTTTTTGATATATGGTTTTAATCTGGCTCTTGAAGTACAAAAGTCTGATTTATAGGAAGCCTTCTCAGATGCATTAAGTCAGGTTAATTATTTTTTTTCTTATCGGGGGAGGAGAGTTTTTTTTTTCTTTTTAGTTCTCCAGAGTTCATTTTAGTGCCTTCTTCCATATAAAGAATTCTTAAGAGCTATTATGAGATTTTTATTATTCACTTGTGGCTTTTTCCATTGGAGCCACTTGAAAGAAATCAAGGGGCCATGATAATAGCTGCTATCCTAACCTGGTAATAGGTAGATTCATCTTTGTTGCCAAGTAGTGGTTTGGGAGTAGATTCTATAATAGTTTGATTTAGAGCAGCTCTTCAGACTGATAATAACTTAAAAGTCAAAGTGGCATTTTTTTTTTTTTAATAAATCACAGGTTTTATGACATTCACTAAAATGTTCTTTTGGAAGGTCTTTATTAATATGATAAAGGCAGTGAGAAGAGAAAGATTTTTCTTGGGTCATAGGAAAATATTCAAAAGTATTTTGCTAGATTTTATACTTTTTTTCTCATTTAAGCCTTAAACATTTAATATTTTCAACTTAAAAATTTTAAATACAAATTTAAACACAGTTTCAAGTAATCTGATTTACTTATTTAGTAAAAACCATTCAATGCATGAATTTTCTTCACAAATTTGATTAATTGATAAAAAATAAAACCATATTTATAATGTTTTCTTCTCCTATAGTAGAAATAACAACCTTATTCTGTATTTTAGCATTTAAGGTAGAAGGAGTTTCAGGATTTCTGTGGGTTATCTGTTTAGCATTTAACAGTGAGAAAGGTATTTTCAGAGAGCTTAAAAGACTACCTCAAGGCCAAACAGCTAGTTAGAGACAAATAATGTGAAATTGAGTCTTCTGATTCTAATTTTTGGGTTATATCCATTACTGTACAATTGAAAATATATCAGTAATACATACAATTGTACATACAGTTTTTATGAATTTATAATTTACACATCTCAAAAATATAATTTTGAGATTTTGAATTGTAATTTGATAGGCTCACCCCTAAAAATTGGAAATGCACTTTACATATTGAAAAATACATGCATTTAAGAAAGGGTGGCAAAATGATGCAGTATATCAGAGAATAAGTACTAGTTAATGACAAGTAATTTTTTTCTTACATGTTTTAGAGATGTCAAGAAATTCAGTTTGACTTATTTGATTTTTTAATTTGCCTTTCTGCAATTTTTAACTTACTATTGAAGTAAAACCATTTTTCTTCTTACCCCTGCCTCTCCTTCTCATTTTTTAAACATGATTTTTTTAAGATTAAAAATGGTATTTTTAAATGGATATTGTCCTCAAGATTAAAAAGATTGTATAAATTGTCTTATAGGCCTTGGAATTAATTCTTATCAGGATTAATTTAAGTAACAAATATTTATTAGGCACATACTATGTGCCAAACACTTTCTGGACATGAAGCATATTTGACCGGCATGAAACAGATTATAAACAAAAGAGCAAATAAATAGCTATTACTTATTAGCTAGGGTTACATAATGGGTAAAGTGAGTATGTGTACAGGGTAGAAAGTGATGGACAGGTTTCCATTTTATGTAAAGAAGGCCTCTCCAATGAGGTAGTATTTTGTTTGTTTGTGTGTTTGAGACAGAGTCTTGCCCTGTTGCCCAGGCTGGTCTAGAACTCTTGGTCTCAAAGGATCCTCTTGCCTTGGCTTTCCAAGTAGCTGGGACTACAAGCTCGTGCTGCTATGCCCAACTCGGTGAGGTAGTATTTGAGCAGAGATCTAAAGAAAGTGAGGCAATAAGCTATGTGAGTGAAGCATAAGCTGCTCTATTAGTGCATTAGAAATAAATCTGAATATATGTTTTTTGAAACAAATTTTGAAAAATATTGGCATTTTATTTGTTTTGATGTATATCCACCTCTTAATAACCAAGTAACCTGTCTCTGACTCACTTTCTTTGAGTGTAGAGTAGGAGCAATAGAAGGCTTCATGTCATAGGGTTGCTGTAAAGATTGAGGAAATACATATATATGAAGTATTTTGAATTGTATCTGCATAGAATACATGTTTAGTGATTATAAGCTATAATTTTATAATAGTCTACATTTAATTTTATAATAGTCTACATCAGCAGTTAGAGTAAATATTAACATTACTGTCTTTTAACTTAGTATTTGGCTTAAAAAACAAATTGTTATAAAGGCTTAGTATTTTTGGGGAGGTTGTTTTCTATGTTTGATGTCAATTTACTATCAACTGTTTATGACAGTTCATGAAAACTCGATGGTGATGTCACCTCTAAGTTACCAACTCTGTTTTGGTTCACTCTCTGGGACAGTTGGGCTGATAAAAGAAACATAATTAAGGTTCTCTTTCATGACCTTACCCTTCTTTTGTGGAGGAAGCTGCTTTACTTGAATCTGTCTTGAGTAATTCTTGTATATATACAGTATATAAAATATATCTGCTATAAATTCCATGCATGGTGACATTTAAGGTCAAGGACTAGTTTCTTAACATAAATTAAAAGTAAACTATTTTTTAAAAAGAGTTTAATAATGTCTCTGAAACATCCAAAGAAAGAATGGTTATCAATGAATTTACTTGCTTTTAAGCTTTTTACACACTTACATTTTTATGTATCATGGAGACTATAATGTAATTAATGTTAGAAATTGTGTTTTATCCATTTTTAATTTTTTAAGTATACAGCCAAAATTTTAATAAAGAATACATGTAAGTTAAAGCGGCATAACATTCATAATTCTATTGTAGTTTCAGAAATTTTGTTTGTGTCAGTTACTTTTTGACAATCATAATTTTTCATAATTATAGTAGAATGATATTTATAAACCTTACAGCTTGCTGTAGGTTTTAGTGGTGATACTCCCGTTAGAGCATCAGCTAGCTTGAGGGTCCTTTTCTTTAGGTGCTATTTGAAGGTAAAAATGATACTTTATTGCTGGGCGAGGTGACTCATGCCTGTAATCCCAGCACTTTGGGAGGCCGAGGTGGATGGATCACCTGAGGTCAGGAGTTCAAGAATAGCCTGGCCAACATGGTGAAACTCTGTCTCTTCTCTTCGAGACCAGCCTGGCCAACATAGTAAAATTCTGTCTCTACTAAAAATATAAAAATTAGCCGGGCGTGGTGACACACGCCCATATTCCCAGCTACTCGGGAGAGGCTGAGGCAGGAGAATTGCTTGAATCCAGGAGGTGCAGGTTGCAGTGAGCTGAGATGGCGCCGCTACACTCCAGCCTGGTTGACCGAGCGTGACTCCATTGGAAAAAAAAAATTGTAACCTTTAAAAGATAAACTTTAAATTATAAGATGCATAAGCACAGATATCAAGAATATTGTTATATTTTCAACATTCTAATGGGTTTTCTTCCCATAAAGTGTGGTATTGTATTAGTATCGGTTATTATATTTTTGCATGTTTGAGTTTAATGACTTGAGACATAATCAGATTTGTTTTTATTCTGTTGATTTTTGCATTATTCTGTTGGTTTATACATGGTCAAGTACACAGGGAAATGTTTCTGGTGATCCTGAGCAAGAATATTGATTTTATCCATGCTGTAGGCAGGCCATAGATGCTTAAGCCCCAAGTGAATCTGGGTAGACTAGCAGAACATCGTATCAGAGTCTTGTGTATTCAAAGCAAAGGCATATATCATGATATTACAAGGGTGTATCAGTTGACTTATTGCTGTTTTGTGACCATAGGTAGGGAAGATTGCTGTTTAAAGCCATGTCATTGGTTCTCAAATCAGCCAGGCATGAAGCCTTGTCATATGCCTCTATAATTGTACCTCACCAGACTTTCTCTAACTAGTCAGCTGGGGCTGTGCATTTTGTCTCAAACACCCGGCTGGCCAGCATCTGACAGGAGCTTTCTCATCATCCTGTCAGTAATATGTTAACTAGAGTGTATCTTTGTGGCCTGTAGAAGCAGGTGGAAGGGATGTTTCTTTTAAAAGCAGATGTCTAAATGTTAGTTATTATTTTGACCGTTTTTTAGTTAATAAATATCACCCTCAGAAAGTCTATAAGCATATTAGTTACAGAGACTTGATTATGTAGTACATGCTATTTTTGGAATATTTAGTGCAAGCAGTATGTTGTGAGTGCTGGACTTACGTTAATAAACTGTAGTTCTCTCTTTGTTACAGTTGCCCCCAGGCATTTGCGCATATGCTTTTCTCTCCTTCTCTCATTAATTCCATCAAGGGTATGTGTAAAAGGAAATCTTTCGATCTCTGGAAAATCAGCTATTAAATGTAGATTTTATAGGTTTAGTCAGAATGAAAGGGAGTCCAGAGGATTTTCGCCTCTTCATCTGGATTATACATATTCTTGATTTGTCTTGTAGTGGTGCCACCTGTGTCAGCATTTAGTCTGAAACCCGAAGTGCAGAGACTCTTTCTGGAGATGAAGAATTGAACGGTTGGTGAGAAAACAAAGATTATGTAGGCTTGCTTCCTAGTTAAGGTTATTCAAGTGCATTTTTGACCCTCATGTTTTTAAAGCTGCAGCGAAGTGGTTTGGTTAAAAACTGTTATCATGATCTCTCAGAGAAAGAATCCAGAAGCAAGTTTTAGATTTTTAATTCTTCCCCAAACCCATAAACAACCCGTCATGTCATCTGAAACTGTAAATAATTCTACTTAGCAGTTTGTTATTTGGCATGTGCATTCTGAACATTGTACTTTTATTCGGTGCGAAGTGAATATGACTGGAGTGGGGAAACGGTACTGCTGAGGTCATCGGGAGACTGTATTGGAAGGGTTGTGCCAATGTTATCTGAAGGAGACTCTTGTGTTACAGGAAAACTAGAGGCATTTGTATCT